AGAGAGAGAGAGAGTATTGTGGCCGAACTGCCCGAGTGACTGTTTTGACATTTGCTTTGTGTCAGCCGCTTCACACAGACAGCCGCTCGCTTCGCGTATCACTCAGCAACAGTGAGTATTTTTTGGCGTTTTAAGGACTTGTACTACCGGGTTTACTCGGTTTTCCGGCCGCGGTGCTGCTGCTGCTGCTGGTGGTTCACCGGCTTGGGCTCGCGGCAGAGATGCTGATTCATCACAACGTTCGTATTTCTCAACGTTTGCGCGAGCAGAGCGGAGGCACGAGGGAGCCATGGCAACATGGCACCGGCGGCAAGCGGGCGGGCGGACAAAGGTCTGGCGTAGAGGGAAGGAAGGAGGTCTGTTCACGGCGGTGAAATTAGACCCGGTCACGGAGTCGGGGTCAAGGATAGGTGTTTTTAAAATGGTCCTAAATGTGTACATTTTTTTGTAGTATTCAGCAAACACTAGTTAATTTATGTGCACTGGAGCACGATGTTTGTTATCTAGTGGCTTAACCCCATTATGTTTGAGTCCCCCAAGCCTTTGTTTAAGGTTTTTTTTTTCTGATTGCCTAGACTTCGGATGTTTAAAAGCCAAAGTAATTTTAATAAAAATCACATTCTGATAAATTAGGCCAGACTGACGGCCAGAAGCCATGTGAAGTCAGTGACATTCAGCGTTTACGAGCGAAGAGGGGCGAAATAACGGTTAGCGACGTGAAATGGGCGGGTCTACCGTCGAACTTTTCTCAACTTCAACGGTATTTAACGAAGAAGCCACCAATGAGAGCGGAACATGCGGCTGATTGACATTAGATAGTTACCTAGGTAACCGGAGCTTGGGTCCACTGCATACCAGGGTCAGATACAAAACGAGCGAATGGACGGGGCTTCAGACCTTATAGAGTTAACCCCTCAACCTTTATTTCACTTTTTAATAAAATAAATAAAGTCTGGTTTTGCCAGATTAAAAACAAGAACCTCCTGTGTAAATATCATTAAAAATACAGACACAAATGAAGGCTGAGGGGAAGGACTGATTCCCATGGCGGTTAATGAACCCACACTGAGACGTGTGCTAAAAAAGGAAGCTATAATGCTGTGCAACAGAATTTCCTCTGATTGATCTCTTGCGGATGGGCCATTATCTTCTGCCTATGAGCGCTGCAACTCTTAAACACTGAAGAGTAATAGGGAAGCTCTGTGGGCACAAGAAAAACAGAAACTTCACCCCCCTAATGACTCCATATCAGCAGCTTTAGTTGGAGTCAGCACTCTGCAGAGTGTATCAAAAGTATGTAGTAAGCAAGTTGGCAAGTACTGTAATAGAGGGTCATAATGATGAAACAGTTGTATCAGTATTGGAGAGAAGAGCACCACCACCAACCCTCCCTCTTCACTGTCTTTCTTACGCACACACACACACAGATTTTTCCCATTTCCTTTTCTCATTGCATGTACGCACGCACACACACAACCTAGGGGCTAAGCTTTTTATACTTGGTATCAGTATTTAATCAGTGCTTGAAGTGCATTTCTCTGTCAAGTACTTTCCCATCCTTCCCTGGTGTTCGCGGTAATTGAACGCTGACCAATGCTTATGTGTGCAACTTTGCTGATGGTGGCAGAGCGGCGAGGCGCGCAGAGCAAAAGGGGGGGATGAAGGAAGAGGGAGGAAGAATGAGAGATGGGATTTGTGGAGAGATTGAGAACAAGGACCTTTTTGTCTTCAAGGCATTCCCCTGAAAATGCTGAGGCGAAGCAAATGCGCTCTCGCTTGACAGATGGCGTTTTCACTTGTTACTTACCACAGCTAGTTTCTTTGCCTTGTCGTGTGTGTGTGTGAGTGTGTGTGTATATATACATGTGAGAGGTTGCAAAGAAAGCAGGAGATATAAAACACCTACAAGAAGCTAAGATCTTCCTGCTGTAGGGCTGTGTGTGTGTGTCTGTGCGTATGCCAAGCACCAAGGTTAAAAGCTGTGTGTGAGTTCTTGCCTGCACTGTTGAGGCGTAGAAAGGAGATGTAACTAAGGGAAGTGATTTTACTATCAGTTGGCCATTACAACATTTGGTGCATGGTGGTTGATCGCGTTCTATCTCTTCATGTCTGTCTTGAAGCCTCGACGAGGAAGGAAGTATATGTGTGTTCATATACACTGTTTGATGCCCTACGTGTACGGTGGTCAAGGTGTTGAAGCATCATGCAGAGCAGTGATAGTCATAGTAAACAAAGGGCCTCACATGGTACATCTGAATAAAAATATCACACACACATATTGCTGATGAATGTTAAAATCCATTAATTTGGGTAGATATAACAGATTGCCTGAATGTTTTAAATAATCCCAAAACAAGCCTGAGACAACTAGTTCACAACCCCCATGCTTTTATTTTGAAAGCTCAGTCACTACTAAGGTCATTCTGCAGTCCAGTTCAGAACAAGATCTAATGCAGCTGGGGACAGTAGCTCTTGTTCTACTCTGGAAATCCGCTCTGAGCTTGAGGGTCACTCATACTGAACCTGCAGCAGGTGGAGAACGGGTGCTGCTGTGCTCTAACTCACAGAGGCTGCAGAGCAGAACGAGGAGCACCAGCAGCAGTTGAAGTCAGGGTTCCCGTGTGCCTCCTTTCACGCAGTGTTTATTGATTTTTGGGTGGTTGTTTAGTTTTCTTTTAAGGTTGTAGGGAGTCAAATTGAGGTGGCCGTCAGGCTCTGCTCATGTGTGATGTAGAGCCTCATTTGGCTGTGTTTATAAGGAAGGATGATTTACTGGGCTACAACAGGAGTTGGGTATATTCAAGATGGTCAGCACAATCTATAGACAGAGGGTAAAGTGGAATTTAGCAGATGAAAAAGACTGCTTGAATTGCCCAGCACTATCAGCAACACATCGTATGTGGATCCAGTGAAAAAAATTCTAGAGAGACTCTGTGTATTTTTATATATATATATTTATATATGTCCTTTAAATTTCCTTTCTGAGCATTTCTTAGCTTCGAAAAATAATCCCTCATCTTCGCCGCCTGTCCTTCTTTTTTCCATCTGTGAGAGTGATGTTATCAAACTTTTGTGGAACTGATATTTTTTCCTAACTGATCAAATGTTCTGAGGCTGTTGCCAACAGCATGCCTCGGTTTTGTTACTAATGCTTAGAACACATATTTTATTTATTGGCCTAGAACTGTAAATCTAGTTTTCCCCTCTAAAATACATCAGCACCTAATAATTTGGTCTTAAACTGAATGTGGACACATTGATGTCAGTACCAAAAGGTTATTTTAGATCCATACCCAGTAACTGGGAACAAAGTCTGAGGACATGATGTTTAATGATGTTTTGGTTCTAAAGTAAAGAATTTTATCTTAAGATTTTTTTTCATGATTTTTGTATCCATTCTTGCTCTGAGATTGCATTGAAAAAAGAGACTGCACAAAGGCAGCGTTTATTGCAGGGCTACAGCTCTGGATTGCATTAGATTGCACAGGTGTTTCTGATATTGTGTCCACCTCCTCTGTATGTGTGTGTATGTGTGTCTGCGAGGAAGAACTCGGTGTTTGTGAACATAATTTCTAAGTAGTGTTTGCATGTTTATGGTCTTGTTTACTACTGGGAACCATTTCAGAAGTCTTGTTTTGCTTGCAGATTTCTAAAAGAGTGAGAGGGAAGTAAAATGCGATAAGTAAACACGGGAATAAAAGATTGAATTGCAGTGAGCGAGAGAGAGAGGAAGAGAGAAAAGGAAGCAGTGGGGCAGATCAATAGTTGAGTGTTTTTTCTCCACAGTAATGATGAAATATGGTGTAAGCAGATCTGGTGCATAATCATTGCTGTGCTCCACTGTTTTTTTTTTTGTTTTTTTTCTTCCAGTTTTCTTTTTTGCTTCGATGTGAGTGTGCAGCTTGTCCTTGTGTTATTCTGTCTCCGAGTCTGTGTGTGTGCGTTTAATGTACCCGCCCTCCACAAGTGCTTCAACTGCTTATTTCATAACCTCCCTGAGAACCAGAAAGTGTATGAAAATGAGACAAATCTCATTTTAGCATGTCAAAGGAAGTCGAAGGGATTTTTTTATTTTATTTTTTTTTAATGGAAAAAAGTTGAAGTTCAGTTTAAGTTGTTGATCTAGATTTCGGTCCTGAATCGATTGTGTCGTGCACTTCAGTGATCGGTGAAGTGATATTGTAGTCTTTGAGTAAAGTTATCAAGTTTTTCCTTTGTGGGCCTTTGGGC